CGCGCTGCTTCCATGGACCAAGCGAAGGGTTGACACACGAAGACTGAAGACTCTCTCAGGAAACCTTCCTCCTCAAATTGTTTTTGGATCGTTTCGGATCGAGGGAATGTGTCATGTCCTGCGTCAGTTGGTGTGGACAAGTACCCTATATGAATGACTGACTCCATCGAGAGCCGCATCGAGTCTAAGCCAACCACTGAAGAGTCAGCTAGACAGACGGTAGAGAAGCGATGCGTCACAGCCAGAAGGGATGGGTCACATCCCCGAAGCAGTTACAACCATGTCTTTCAGCATCCGGAATATCATCGTCAATTTCATTGATACGTGTGGGACACGAACATTAGGACACTTAGGGCACTTCTACACATCGAGAAAGTTGTCGTGGTATGTAAGATTTTGCCGTGGTTGGATGTGTTTGGGACGTTTACACTTGGTTTGGAAGCACCGGTGATCCGAAGGCCCTACAGGGTGATAGACTCATCAGCTACACAGCTGTAAGCAGAGATGATGTACAACAGGTACCCAACTGGCCAAAATGCGTTGCTTTATACATTGGCAATAGACTCTATAGCGAGACAAACTCCTAAAGATTCCTATACCAATACCCTTTTGTTTTTGGTCCTTCTGCCAAAAATGGAAGTCTTATGACATCTTTCAAGCAACAAAGATCCAGCAGCTTTCTGGCGTCTCCCCACCTTCTCCCCTCCCAGCATCACGGACCAACGAACCGAAGCCACCGCCCAGGGACGGAAGCTCTTGTGGGAGCTGCTCTCGTGACCTGGGTCCGTGAGTGCGAGTCGTCTACATGGATGGGGCGGGGGCCTATGACTGAACCAAAAGTGAACCTACGCAGTAGGACCCTCCTCCTGTCGGGGTGTCTATGGATTGGCCCCTTAGCTGAGCTGTTATAGGGGTGTCCATTAACCACCCCGACTGGGGGTCCTAGTAGCAGGGACTATCTATCTATTGATATCAGGGATTAATATACCGACTCGGGTCAGATTCCGAAAGTGTGAAAGATCAGGCGGTCTGTGATGGGCTTTGGTTAACAAGGACGACAGTACTGAGTGATTTTGTCCTTCCTTCTTTGGAAGAGCTGCACCCCAACCCAAAGACCGAGACTGACCCAAACCCAAGTGTCTTGGAGGTGGGACTAGGGCTGCAGGGCTGGTCTGGATCCAAGCAGTCCAGACGGGAAGACCATGGAAGACAGACATGGACAGCAGGTACCATTCTAGCCATACCATGCCATACCTAGCCTCAGCTGAGAGCATGTTGCTTCAGTAATGACAAAATGAACAAGATCTGAGTCAGAGCTTCATCTCTAAAGTGGATCGATTTGTCCATCCAAACGCCGACTTGGCCACCGAATCTGAGCCCTTTGTCTATGAGGGAACCAGCGAATCTTACACCAGCGAATCTTACCCTCAAGCGACCTACAGGTGCCTAGAAGCATCACCCAAATCGAGAAAAGCAGAAACATCATGCTGTTTTGCCCAAAAAGGCCAGACTCGTCCCTCGTCCCTCATCCTGTCCAAGGCTCCAGGCGCCAATTTTGCTCCACACCGTGCAGCTTTGGACCGTCCTCAGTCGTCTCCCCACCATCAGCGCCGCGGTGACGCAGCAGCTCGCGGCCACGCAGCGGCTCGAGAGCGACACCGACGCGGCATTACCGGAGGTGCCCTACTTGGATGCTCAGAGGATCTCACTGATGGGAATTGGGTGATGCGAATCAGGTGTGGCAGGGGTTTGGTTTGGTGTTTGGTGTGTGGTTCACATGTTTTTTTTAATGGATTTGGCTGGCGGAAAACTACGGCTAAGGGAAAGCTCAGCTTGTGAGTGAAGCATTCGGGATTGCATTGACTTGCATTGAGGTCCCACAATAGATATAGGAACATTATGAAACATTAAAGTTATAGAGGAGATTCATTTTTTCTCCAGATAGGGAGAGCTATTTGGGTTCCAGCTTCAACTATAGGAAGACTGGCCTTTTGTCCAAATAGATGGCGATCAACGGGTGGTTTCACCGTGAGTTGTGGCGCTTCCCAAATGCGTAGCGAAGGGTTCTCGTTGATCTTTGGGGGG